AAGTTTTGTCTTTTAAAATATTAATTGTATTTAGTTTGATGATTAGAAATAGTTAATAATTATAATTATTAGTTGATAAATAATAAAATATTTAACATTTATTACTTAATAAGTTAAAATTAATCTATACATTAATATTTCAAATATCATAACTAACTATTAAAAAAAAGTTTGAGTAACTCCAACAATTTATTGAGTGGCTATAGCCATTCTGGAAGTTTTGCTTGCTTATTATTTTCTAATTGTACATTTATTTTTAAAATTTAATATGGATTTGATTTGTTTACTCAGCTTGTTAAACTAATTTTAGATTAAATGCTCATCTTAGAGTATGATAAAGAAAATATCATAGGGTTCAATAAAAGTGAACTACACAATTCTAACAATTCACGAGAAGTCATTTTCCATTAGGCAGTGATTTATTTTCTTCTTTTACAACTTGACACAAATTGGGTTGCTAAAAAGAGATCTGTTCTTAGTTACCAACTTGAGTTTAATACTTCCACGTGAATAAGGTACATCTCTTATGGTACTTCTAAAGTGAGACATCCTTATGAGCTCCACCTCCTCCACAAATTAAATTTAATTAATAATCTCCGGATTGACAAGATGGGAGTCCCTTATTTTTTTTGTATAAGCACTTAAAAATTTGTATTAATATTTGTGTCAAAATTTGAAAAAAAAGTACAAATAAGTGTGTCAATTTTATTTTTTTATTTAAAATATTACTTTTATTAATTTTTAAATAAAAATATTAATTTTTAATTTCAGTTAAAATCTTGAATCAAACTCTTTTTTTTATTTAAAAATGTTAATTTTGTTAATTTTAAAATAAAAATATTGATTTTTAATTTTAACTAAAGTTTCCATTCAAACTTTCTTTTTTTCAATTAATGACAATTTTTTTAAAAATACCTTTCAAAATAACTTAAACCAAATGGCCCCTAAATCAAAGTACAATAATATGTTAAAGAGTTTTTGTGGAGACAAATAAGATTTGATTTTAAGATTAGGATTAAATGCTCATGCATGAATGTTACAATTGTTTATATAACACTTCTCGTGAATGTAATGAGGACTACTTGGCTTGGCCTATGACTTTTGGTGGACATGATAATGAGGTGTGTATTTATTCCATCCACAAAATGCTCCTTGAGAAATATGCCGACATTCCGAAAGCGAAGAAAAAGCTTTATCAAATGGCTATCATGCAACCCACGAGCGGGTGGATTCTTTTGGGTGGATTTTCTTCGATTTAATCAGAAATTTTAGTTTTAAATTTTGAGAATGTAGTTTTGTTAAAATTTGTAAGGGAGAGTTTTGCCACCCATTGAGTTTTGTTTGGCTCAAATTCAGATTAATTGATGGTTCAATGAATTTTTGGATACCAAATTATCCAAATAAATAAAAAAAAATGACTATCATGCATCGTGCTTGATTGTGGGAAATGCCATCAGTTGGGGATTGGATTTTTATTTTTATTTGTGTGTGTATGCTTATGGAACAAGTTTAATTATTACTCATTTTTGTAAATTGAATGAAAGAGCAACCAAAGTAGCATCATGGGTCCCCACTTGGCCGCAGTCTCGATGGTTCTTTTGTGCCACAAAGGCTGTCCAATTCTTTTCACGTACGTATAGTCCACTAATTATACCACCTTTTCTTCAATGCCTATCCTTAACCATAATATAATGTTAAAAATGAAATCATGCTCAAATGCAGTTGCCCACTTAAGAGAAATTAAAACTAAAAAAATTATAATCAGTTACAATTACAAATAACTGATTATGGGTCCCGAAAAGTAAACTTTCTCATGTTTTTGGTTGGGAAAAAAAAAATCAATTTGAAATAACTCATGTTTTGACTTTTCTAAAAGTTTACATATAATGAATCAAGCCAGCAACAATTTTAGCTCGATGGGCCACCAAACAGCCCCATCATCTCCTCTAGTAAGATCAACATTTTCTTTTAACCCATAATCTACTCTATGGGCATTTTCTTTTAGCCCATAATCTACTCGGGGCTTGACTCCAAAGCAAAGCCCATCCTCTTGTTTAGCTCGTAAAGCCCAAAAAACACCCCACTCGTGACATTTCAACTTGAATAAAATAATCACAGATAATAGAACAAAGAGATTTCATTGGGATAAAATTATGCTTAATAAAACAGCAATGCCATATTTAAGAAGTTACTTAAAATTGTAAATTTATACTGTAATTTTTTTATTTGATTTTAATAAATTTAATTTTTATTTTAAGATA